ACGCTATGAGTACCAGAATAGGTATGTCCCGTGTGCTGTTGTATTTTTAGACAGATGCTAACATGGACCATGGATTTTTTTTCATATTTCTTATAATTTTCTTATCGTAATTGTTTATTTAGGTCATTTTAATAATATTTAAACGAAAAATAAACCGATTTGGAGATGGTACTCGATGCTTAGACTCGTTTCACACTTATACGGTTCGATTCGGTTCGGTGCGTATTCGATTCGTTTTCGGTAGCGCCTAAAACGAATGAAAACTCTTCACACACACTCGGTTAGTATAAGGTTTGATCTCACGACCGAATCATCGAATACGCAGTACTGCATTTTTTACTCACTTTTCCCACAATGCTCATAATGGAGAAAAGACAAATTGCTGCCATGTTATTTCTCTATAGAAGAATCAAAAAACGAAAGAGGAATAATCGACTGCACTGGGTACACCCTATCCTTACCAAACGGGTGGAATTTGGTGCATTTTATACCCTTTTTCCGAAATTAAGGGAGCACGGAGACAAATTTTCAAATTACTTCAGAATGTCAACGACATAATTTGATGAATTACATTTGAAGTTAAAGGACAGTATTCAACGCCAAGATACCTTTATGCGCGAATGTATTCAATCAGTTCAGATGTTAGCCATCACTTTGAGGTAAGTCAATAAGATAAATTATTAGAATGAACAATTAAACAGAAATGCTTTTATTTTGAAATAAAATAATATTTTGAAATGACATATGAACTAAATAATGAAATTAAATATTATAATTATACAATGTAATATATTATTTGGTTACATATTTCAATTTAAATTAAAAAAATTATCTGAACTATCATCGGAAACCGAATAGGAGCTGTAGCTAGGGTTTGGGCTTGAAAGATAGTGGACTAGTATTTCATACTATTGACCAGCGGATATTTGCGGTTCAGTTTGTAGCTGGGAAACCGAACTACTACATAAAGATGGATGTCGGTTGCGGACCGGTTGTGTTTGCTGCAGACACTTCCGCTCCCTGATGTTCTTAACGATTTTTAATACCTCCATTTGAAAATCAATTGTGTCAATTTCATTAAAATCTTCAAGAGAAGGGAGTAAACATTTGAAAAATGAGAGATGCCGATTTACTGATTCTCTTAAGGCTGAAATCATTTCAGGATCCATTTTTCGTTTCTTTGTAACGGGTTTTTTGAAAGGTGATTTAGATTTTTCAGCCGCTCCATCACTCGATGTACTTGGAACTTGTTCCACAGGGTCCTCTCCTTTTTCAAACATGGAATCCTCATCACCACAATCGTCAATATATTGTGACAAAGTGTGTAAACGACCATTTGCTTTTGTTGACTCTGGACCCGAATGGAAACCGAACGAAACCGATTCGTGTCGAGGGGGCTTTCGGTTCTATCAGTTATCTATTAGGTACCGAACATACGCCGTATCACTGTTTCACACTTATCCAGCGGCTACCGAAAACGAATCGAATACGCACCGAACCGAATCGAACCGTATAAGTGTGAAACGAGCCTTATTGTATCATATTATTCAGTTATACGTTAATTTTCATTCGAGTCAGTGGCGGTCAAACGGGTGGGGGGAGGGGGATAGATCCCCCCCATGACTTTTTGCTTTAATATTTATAACGATTACATTTATGTATATTGTACTATAATGTTAATATATTACATTTTGTTTTAATTTTTTCTCAAAATAACGCTTATGGCTTATGAGCGTATATTATTATTATATAGATTCTAGAGTTCTAGACTCATTCTAGGAACAAGGCTGTTATTATTATTAATATTTATTAATTAGTTGCTTATACGAAACACACGGGAATTACCCAGCTCGGTGATCGTGAATATTCAATACCAACACACTCCTCCCTTGACCAGCCCATCGGCCGAAACGTATTAATACGTTATGTATAAATAGCTATGTTATTATAATTGGCCAATTCATCGATTATTATTACATTAGTCCCAATATTTTGTTACACAGACCACAGTGTTTTGGCTTTCGTAATTCGTACTCGTTACTCGTGTCTCGTAAGTCAAACTGTGTCGCGCTTTATACTTACAGTCTGCTGTAATTGTAAATTGTAATAGATATTATCTGTAGTCTGTTTTATAATGTCTAATAAAAGAAAAATTACCACCTATTTTACTTGCTCTACCACTAAACACACGGACTCTGATGAAAAAAATAGTAAGATCCCTAAGATCATTACAGAAAATGAAGTTGTGGACTTGCCGGTAATATTTGTTTAACTAATTAATGTAAAATGTTTTATTTATGAAGGAAATGGGAATATTAATTCAAATTACCTATTGTATTAGGCTGTTGATTTCAATGTCCATGATATTGACTGTTATATTAACAGTACTTTGACTGATGCTGATAGATGTTTGGTAAGAATTAAATCTTTTGTCAGTCATTAATTATACATGTACTATGTGTACTTGTAGTTCATTATTACAACTAATACAACCAAAATTGATTAATGTGTGGATACCACCAGCTACATATACATATCCATTACTTGATTGTAATGCCAAGAGAGGTTTAAAGTTTAAGCACCATTGGCTGAATGCTCATAACTGACTGGCATATTCTGAAAAGTACCAAGGTGCTTTTTGCAAATTCTGTGTTGTATTTTCAAAAGTTGGTGGTGTTGGTGGTCAAAAATTAGGAACCCTGGTAGTAGAGGCTTTTACTAACTACAAAAAAACTACAGAAGTATGTATATTTATAAATTTATTTATTCAACATTTTATACATAGTTAATAGTTTTTCAATATTTTGATAGGTGTTTAAGAAACATGGAAATTTGGAATACCATAAAACAGCTTTGCTTAAATCTGATAACTTTTTAAATGTTTATTCAAATAAAGTTTATTCAATAATAAATCTTATTGATAGTGAAAGGTACATCAAATTAATAAGTAAACTTAATTTTATAAAAATCTATAAATATAAGAAATATAATTGAACTGCATTTTTCAATTTAATTTTTAGAAAAAAACAGATTGAAACAAATCGAAAGCGTTAAATCCCAATTATTAAATGCATTATGTTATGCGGTCAACAGGAAATAGCATTAAGAGGTCATAGAGATTATGGTCCTATTTGTTTCAGTAGTATGTATATATAACACTTACACTATATAGTTGACAACTTTTAAGTCTCAAGTAGAAATTAAAAAAATTGTTTGATTTATTAATATTTTAACTAAAAAAGCTTAAAGTGTATACTGTATAATATTAATACGAGTTGTATAATTTTTTTTTTTTTTTTGATACCTAGTTATATTTTTATTTTAAAAAACATTAAATTTGAGCGCTGTTTGCTGTATTCAGTTCTCCTCTTTCTACTCCATTAAACGAATTGAGCATCAGAAACAGTTCTCAGTGACGTAATCACGAAAAATAGTGAGTACCAAAATTGGCCCTCAAACCCCGAGAGTCAAATGGTGTGAGTGCCAGAATTGGTACTCAAAGCCTGTAGAACAAAACGTGTTTAATGTGTGGCACAGGAGACACACCACGTGAGTACCAAATATGGTCCTCGTGGAAGTCAACTTGTATAATAAAATAGGATAAACAATAAGTTGTTTAAATACAAATTGTTGATTTTAAATTATAATTTTATACAAGTAGCAAGTACATGCAGCACACGTCATATTTTTCATACTTTTATACCAATATGTGGCGTTAAATTACACACCACACTTCGAAAGGTTCAACTAAAATTTCTAACTTATGTATGATTTTGCTGACAAAATATCTAAATCGATTTTCAATTTTTAATTATAAAAAACCTTAAAACATTAAAATAATATTATTTTTTAAATCCGTTAAATTATATTTGTATTTAATTTGGGCGCAACTCATTTTAAATGGAAAAAGTAATTCCTAAATAGCCTAGTCTAGAAGTTTAAAATTCCGCAAATTTGTCGAAATTAAAATTGAACTTCATGAGGATGATTGATTTAATAGGTACCGTTTTTAGTAGTTTTTATGGTTATACACTTATGCACTAATGCAAACGAAAATATATTTCATTTTTCTGTGACTATTTGATGTGACCATGTACAAGAGATAAAAACAATAACGATTACGCACACTACAATTAATTTACTACTCACACATTGAAACAGCTGAAGTGTAGATGTCATGTGAATTGCCTAAATATTACGCCTTATAAAATTCCCTCTTATTATTAAAACTATTGACTAGTTTGAGAAACTACTACGTCATAATATGTTATATCTTAAATAATATAACAAAATATATCATATTTTAGTCTTGGCCAGTAAGTTACAGTAGACTATTACAATATGTAGTAACATGGAAACTAGGTTAAGCTATACCTAATAAAGTAAAGAGGTAGGGATGGAATGAGTGGATACAAATATTGGATTTCAGCAGTGATCGCTTAATACGGCCACTGTAGGACAAAACATTAATAACATTTTATATTTTAATTGTGTGTGTTTATTAGTAGGAAGCGATCGGCGTATACAACAATACAAAATCCGAATCTTTACATAAAAATAAATAGTAAATAATATAAAAATGCAATGTTTAATAATGTTATAATATTAATATAATTAGGATATTAGGTTATTGATATTGAAATAATGATAAGTATCAAACATAAATAGTTACATTATAATTAGGTCCGGATGTTAATGCTATACAAAACCTATACAAATACACTACAATTTAATTTGTATAATAAACAATATAATATACTATAATATATATAATAGGTATTATGTTAATGATCTAAGAATTTAAAAACTCTCATAAAACGATTTAAGTTAATACAATAATTTATTGATTTTAAAATTAAACATGACAATAATTCATACCTAAATATAGGTATGTGATTTTGATTTAAATTTACAGATATAAAAATAATTAAGTTACGGTTTTTTTTTTCAATTTGTTGAAAATAATATATTAATGAAAAATAATTAACTTGTAATATTGTTATCTATCTATTATAAAAATAATCTCTAAAACTTCAAAAAAAACCGTGAAAGTCAGATAAATGACCTAAAATCGAGTAAAACGCAAAAACTGCAGAATTAAATGTAATTATATAGATTTGTATGTTATTTAAACAAATTTTAGGTTTGGATAGCATAGTCTATGAATTATGATGTTCCACAAAAAAAGATGCAAAAGTCGTCAACATCATTGTAACGGGCCCTAATTATAACATTGCCTTTAATAAAGTCTATTTTGTTTTTAAGCACTTATACACACTAATATAAATAATAAGAGTAATACATTAATAATAAAAATAATAGGATTCTGACAAAAAAAAATTATTTGTACTACATTATTTTTGAAGGATATTCATTTTAATATTGGTCCATTTAATGTTTTGATGTTAGTATCAAAATGTATGGTTTCACCGTTGCTTGTAACAATTGCGATGGCTATTAAATAAGCCGTGTAGGGCCTTAAATTTGTAATTAACACAGAACCTTCGCAATCATTTTTATGAACATCTCTCACTGTTTTCTCTGTCATAGTTTCTGAAATGAATAAAACATAAATAAACTAGTTGCAAAATAGTTGCAATGTAATAAATAATCGTAAAATAAAAGTAATAAACAAACTAATGTGGCTCTTGACAGAAATTTAAAGCGAACATACAAATATTATTTTATTGAGTGTAGAATGTTAACACGTCATTAATTATACTATAGATTGTAATACTAGCCTATGGCCCTATGCCTAGGTTAAAATTGATCTATAGTTTTATCGTTTTCCGTCACACAAACTATATTATAATATTTCATTTTATGAATTAATGATTCTCTACTTCTTGATTCTAGACATATTTTTAGAACGAATAATCAAAGACTGACATAAATTCAATAACGTTAAAATTGTTATTTATCTTCACGTATCACGTGTTTATTTATATCAAAAATATGTCTAGAATTAAGAAAGCAAATCATTGTTGAAATTCATAAAAGTAATCACTGTATTAATATTGTTTTAAGATTTGTTTTTTTTTTAATTACAGGTAACTATTTACAACTATTTGTAAAAAACATTGTAACTATGCCATATATCTATTAATTATAAAGGAAATATAATAAAGATTTTCAAGAAAGAATTTGGAGTGTATCGGTACGTATCGGGTCAATTTTGAGCGTTCAAGATGTTACACGTGCAATATACAAGCGATACGTACCGACCCGTATCGGACTCGAACTCCGATACGAGGTGGTACGTAACTATTTCGTATCGATACGTATCGAATTTTTCTTCTTGAAAATCTTAAATGTGTAATCAATAGCAACCCTTTAAATAAACAAAAAAAAATTCGATTTTCGTGAGCAAAAACTTAATTCATGTATGAGCCACCCTATATAGGTTGAAAAATGAGCTATAAACTCTATACGAGTCTTAAGAAATCTGTTGATATAACTTTCATTAAAAACGTCAAGTTGTTTTTGAGTCTATTGAAGAAAAATAAAGAAATATTCATTTTTGATTCTGAGCGGAGAAAAAAATGTACTGGTTTTACAATCATCTATGTTTTTTGTGCCTATTGTCAATTGTTTGTATTGGCATTTTCTATACTTATAACATTTTATGACCCTCTGAAGTAGGATTTTGACAATATTGGTCAAAAAACGAAAATTTGAAAATTATTTTGAGTTAAAAATTCATAAAAATGTTTCTATAGACAACTATAATTTAAAAATTTAATACAAGATTCTCCATAGGTATTCCTTTATTTTCCTACAGATTTTTTATAAAAAATTTAAGTTTAAATTTGGACAAAATTATAGATATTTAAACGAAGAATAACGATTATACTTCTTTTGTTGTATAATTTAAAAATATTATTCGTGAGTACTTGAAACTTTTAATGTACCTATATTGTTTTATTTTATTCACGCAATGACATTTTCAAATGCAATTTTTTGATAAAAATGAATTTAATCTATACTACCTATTACTAATGCCTAATAATAAGATCAATAGCTTCAATCGCAACAATATCATACAAAATACTTAAGAATATTATAGGGTGATGGGCCGCCTTCGCTCAGAATCGTTTTTCGCAGGTATAGGTATACAAATATTGTATGTCATTAAATTCAAATTTAACACATCAAATACTCCTCTGGACACCTAATGAGCAGTACAGCGTTACCCCACTGGCCTACCTTCTTATATATACCTATAGATTATGTAGACAACTTAATATCACGGGGATTCTAAAAAAATGTCATGTAAAGAAAATGTTGACACTGTTACGATTATGAGTCAAATAACTTATTATAACTTAATTCCTGGATGTAAAATTATACTATTGTACTACTCCCCAGTCCTCAGCCACCGGCAAAGAGCGTACCTTTTTAGTTGCATGCAAAAATCCAGTCAAGTCATATAACGTTTGACTTAAATGTTTAATCGTGAAAAGGTTCTAAATAACATTGTTTTGTTTTCATAAACAATTATTTAGTCTTAGATTGCAAAGGCGAATCAAATAAGTTAAAGTGTATGTTCACCATAAGATAATTAATGTCGATTGTTATAAAAGTAAAAAGTTCTAAATCACCAAAAATTAAATAATAAACTGGATTTAATCAAATTTAAAAACCTCAGCTAATGGAACCAAATTATTATAAAAACATTATTGTAAAAAGTTTCTAATAATTTGATTTATTACTACAAGCAGTGCCATAACATTATGGAATTATGGCGCATAATTAATTGTTCAATTAAAATAGTTTTGTTTCTATCAAGGATACAAGCGCGAGGAGCGACAGTTGGCTACTTTAGTGTAAACATCACTTTAGTGTTATCACTAAACCTTTTGGCATCCCAGCATGCAAAGTGTTTCTGTGGCTCTTAAAATTATCCAATATTTACTAATCTAATGATATTAAAATATTACAATTTAAGATTAAAATGTACAAAGTTTTTCATTTCAACTTAATTATATTAGTTTAAAAAAATAAAATTCATAACTTATATTAAGCAGTACCTGATAGTAATATTTATGTTTAACAACATTTTACGATTGAGATATAAACTTTGATGTTTTATTCTTATTACATCATTTTCACAGCCATGCGAAACTGCGAAAGTATTATTATGAAAAGGATTCAGCTAACAAAAAAAGTATAATAAATAAGAATGAAAAAGTTCTAATTAAATACTTTTTTTTTGTTTTAGGATGAACAAGTTATAAATGGTTTTTATTAATTTTAATTCTAACTAATAGAGAAAATTATGACTGTGCATATTTATATACTTAGGTATCAATAGTTATTCAATATTTCAATAGTTGATAAACATTAATGCAACACTATAATAGATACAATATTACCTGCTCGTGTATCTCTAATAAGGGGCAATATTTAGGCAATATGCGATTTTCGGTACCCATGGTATTTGTGTTAGTCGTAAAAAAACAAAAAAAACTGTCACGCCTCGTATTTTGTAGAATGGTCTAATTACATTATTATTTTTTTTTTTATTAGAAAGAGGGTGAGTTTCTACAGGTCTTATTGGACTTTTTTTAATTTTGTAGTTTAAACAAAAGTAATAAAAAAAACAATTGCTTGGGAAAATTTGTCATATTTAACATCGGTATTTTATGATATAGAAATATAATTTTAAAAATCCAAATCTAATGAGGACTGTAAGAAGACGTCTCTATATTTATATATATATATATCTTTAAGAAAACAAAATTATCAAAATCTGATCAGTCCACGAGGCGTGAGAGTTTTTCCAATAAGACATGTTTTTGAATAAAAAAAACATGTCACGTGCAGGCCCCTTAATATTTAATCATAAATGTTATTAGAAGACATGAAATTAAAGCAGTATGTAAGTGTGAATATAAGAAAGACAAAATATCTTATTAATGATTCTGAGGAGCAAAACAAAGTAGTATATTAATAATAAGTAGTATATAATATCTACTATGCCGTGATTAAAAATGTGAGTTATAAATTTATAATAAACATTGAAGATGAAAATGGTATTTTTATAATGTACATGTCAGTTTTATAATTAAGTGAGTATTTCTCTAAAAAAAAAAATAAAACCACCTGTTTCAGATGATTGTAATAATATTTTTCCCCTTCTCTAGTAATAATAATCAAATAAGTTAAAACTATAGTTGATATGGCTTTTTTAAGAAGTCTAGTATTGTAAAATATACAGTACCTAATTATATTATTTTCGATTAAAATTACCTTAGTGCTTAGCAAAGTATAATATTCGTTTTTTATTTTGAAGGACTGCATTTCTGGTTTATATTGTCTTCATATCGGTAAGTTCATTACCAACACAACCTATCTTAATTAATAAGACTTCACATTGTTTATCCTGACTCCACATCACCAAGGTTGTATAAGCTATGAGTTATTCCCTAAGTTGTGTGTTTATTTAATTTATCTTGAATTAATATGGCAAAAACTAAAGGTACAGTTTTATAATTTTTAATTGAATACTTCCAAAAAAATATTGTCATTGATAATTAATAATTTTCTAACTTCTGTATTATATTCTATCGTTATTATACAATAAATTATACGGTTAATGTTGCAATTAACATAATAATTTAGTATGCGAATAAACTGTGTAGGTACTAGGGATTAGGTACCTACCTAAAGTTGTCAGTATTAACGACATTTTAAGTACACCCAGATTACGTTAATCCTACGATAATTATTCATAAACACATTTTATATTCTGAGTGGACCGATAATTGTATGGGATTTAGTATTTACAATGGTGTTTTTTAAATTTTGAATATTCATCAACTTAAGGAGCTGTACAAATTAACTTTGAGCGATAGGTGTTAATATATATTGAAATATGTATGTATTAAAAGCATGTTTTCTGCGTGGTAAGCACCGCATGTTTGACGGGCAATGCTAAACTCAATAATACTGTTATTTCACCGTATTCGAGTTACAGGAAAATCACAGTCTTTGACAAGCAACTAGTGGCTCTCACACAAAAATCTATACCAACCGTATACAAATGATCACACATTATAACAAATATACTAGGTAGGTACTGAAGTTAGTGTCATGCATGATAAATTTATAATTCATTTATAATTAGTTTGACACTGTTTGTGCACGTTATGGGTAAAATAAAAGTACATGCAATTTACTCTGATTAGTGATTTCAAAAGGTTGAAATTCTTATTTCTTTAATGGTTTTATTAAGCATTTGATAATATGCTTGTTAATAAAAATTAGTAACAAATAAGTAATATAATAAATAAGTACATTTTGTTTGTATGATTTTAACTTAATATTAATATATCTAATTTTGTATAATACAGTTTGCCCCTTGATAACCGCATTAGAATAGTAGTAGGCACACAATTTTGTTTTGCTTTATATGATTGCATTTTTATTTTTTAGTCATATTTTAGGTAAACAATAATTGAAAAATACTTGTACAATTGTTAAGATATGATTGAATTTTCATTTTTTTCATTTTATTATTTTATTATTTTTCTGAAGATTGTCGATAATCGTGTTTTCCGAAATGTTGTCGAAAGACGAATAAACTTTTTAGGGATTAATTAGGTAATTAAAGATAAAAGCATTATAACTACTTATTAGTTATTGTATGTTAAGTAGGTACATGCTGATTACGTTAATATCTGCATTGAACGTTATTTCTAAAATTAAAACGTTATTAAAAAAATACAATGCCCAATGCATTAAGCTTAAATTTTTTGGTATGACTCATAAGTTATTATTATTGTTATAGAAACCATGTTGAACAGACAGAAAATATATAATATGTATATGCTGTACTTATGTTTAGTGACTTTTTTTATTTAAGTTATTAGTTATTATTATATTTTCAATATTAAACATTGTCATATAAACCATGTAGAATAAATTATTGTTTCAAATTTAAACTTTATACAATACACTTTTAATACAACATTCAACATAATATTATATAAATTCCAATACTGATTATTTATTACCCAAGTATGTAAATACAACATTTCTTCCAAATATATGGAATATAAGTATAATGATTTTATCAAAGCAGGTTTATTTGTAGAAAACAAAAACCAAACCTTTTTTGTTTAAATTGGTAGAAACGGTGCATGCCCCTACTGGTTATTTCCATATTTTATTTAAGCTTATGTTAAATTATATTTATGTTTTACATACACCACTAGTTTATAGTGTACATAAAGGTAGGTCGTAGGTACATCATATATTATTGTGAATCTATCTTATAATATTGATTTTAAAATGCATAAATAAATAAACAAATCTAGGTATGTAAAATACTAAGTGTATAATATTAAGTTGTATAGTTTATGAAATAAAACATTACAAATCACAATTATCATAACCCACAGTACACAGAGAAATACATAATAATATAATAATCTTTAGCAAAAATTAAAGTTTAAGTTAAACAAAAAAAATATTGGCATTTTATTTATGAAAGTGAAAATTCAAACTATAATAATTATCACATCGTAAAAATACGTTTTAATAATAAATGTAAATTATTTATCATATGCCAATCATATTTAATAATAATAAAAACCAGGTAAGTACCTCAAATGGCACATATTTAAAATACATATAGAATAATATTAGATTCAATGTGATTAAAATGTAATGAACGTTTAGTGTCTTATATAATTATTCCAATAATCACTCTGTTTAATGAAGATATAACATAATATTTTATGTTTCGGTGTATTATAAGTACCTACATATATTTTGATATGAAAGCATGCATATTTTTCCCGAGACATATCTATTAGTTTAGTGCGATTGTGATAATATTAATAATGCTCAAAAAACTAAAATAAATTCCATAATCAGAGCAGAAAAAAATTTAGGTAATGTTAGGTTAGTGGTTATTTTATATAAAATTGTAAATTATCCAATAGGTATGACCCCATCGCATGATTACACGCACAATACTATCGCATATGTCACATAATATAAAAATTTGAAGTGAATACAATGAAGGGCCATAACCGAAGGCTTAAACTTAATAATATTAAGTTTTCATTGAAAACTAAAAATATCTTACCTCTGCAGAGGGAATTATTTATGGCAACTATGGGACAGTAAAATATGCGATATCCGACTAAGCAAGTCTTGTCATCACAGTAGACTTTCCAGCTCAAACCCACATACGTCGAACCAACGACACTAACCCAAACGTTCTTTACATTGTCATTGACTAATCAATCATAAATTCAAAAATCGATTTGAACAAAAAGTATATAAATAAAATAAAATTAATATACAAAAAAAAAAAAATTGTATTATTACAAGAAAGAGCTTTTATCAAAACATATCATGCGCAGTTAATAGTTACGTACATGATTCCCACATCATTCCGCTGCTTCTAGTTTTAAGGTAATCGATACCATTGCTCATCTGATTTTCGCTGTTAACACTTATTGCAAAAATATATTTATCCATGTCATCAAACAAAGTAGTGTTGTAACAAGATACTGAAATTGACACATGCATCCAGTTCATATAACCCTGCAGAAAAAAAAAAAATTAAAACTATCTATTATATCAAGAACGTTGGATAATAATAATAATAATTATTATTATTAGTGTTGCTTATTGATATCGATGTATAAAATGTTTTGAAACTTCTTTATAGAGGGTAGGTATGAAAAAAAAAGATTGTCACCAGACACACCAAGATAGATAGAGAAAGATAATATATGACATAAGCTAACAACAACGATTTTGTGGGTTAACATGTACCTGTTAAAATAAATCAATTACCTACAATTATATTTTAATATTTAATATTTCTACTTTCAGTTCTAAGTTTTGTAACGAGACAGCGCATTACTAGTGCGCTCGTGGGCCCCGTCGAGGTAACGAACGACACAAATCCGTCACAAAACCCGAAATAGATGGAGCCCGAGACTACAAGACGTCACCGTATTTGTGCGTTCCCCCCGCCCAACATAATGATTACTCAAATAATAGTATGATATTCAATATTATGTTAAAAATTTACGAAAAGACCACTTACAGTAGTAAATTAATATAAATTTAATTATAACCCACATTTAGGAAATTGTATAGTAAAATAAACAATTTTAAAGTTACATTTTTCCAATTTAGTTCGGTACTATATGTTGATATCAATAGTTCTATAATCTAAGAATAGAACCTTCGGTATTTCGATAACTATTAATATATTTCATATAATACATTAATTCGCATACATTACACTGCCTTGGATCGATCAAGTCTTTTTCGCACCAAAATAAAGAGTAAAAATATCGTTGATTTTCAGTGGATAATTCTTGAGAATCAGAGTCTTTCCAGGATAATTCAAAAATTCCTTGTTTGTCAAATACATTTTTCTTGAACGATGCTGGTTTATTGAGTGCTATAAATAGTAATAAGTTGACAAAACAATTAGGTAAACATGCAATTAATTAATTTAAAATAAATCGTATACATATGACAGATATCTATCATAATATGACTCACTGTCTGATTCGCTAGGTACGTATACCCTTGAACATTCTATGGATGAACCTTCTTCATTGTATGAGATTACTATAAATTCGTATCCGATGCTGGTACTGAGATTTTCGAACCTCGCGTGATTCTTTCTTACGTCATTGCTAAGGTAAGTGCTGTGTTGATAAATAAATAGTCATTTAGAATGATTTAAAATCAGTAATTCATTAAAATTATATTATATTATATTATATTAATCAGGATAAAATATACCCGTAAAAGCTAAAAAGCATATTATTGTTAGGGCTTCTACTAAAAACGTTTTAAATAACACCAAAGGTATACGAATGAAAGACGGTAAAAGTTGATTGATCCACAACAAAAAATAAATATGATTTTTAACTAATAATTAAAAATTAAAAACTAATAAGTTATACATAATATTTTGTTCAACATACAAAATCATCTATTCAGTATTAAGCAAATTATTGATATTTATATTAATAGTTTAACTGAAAAATCACATTAGAAACAGCGATAATTCAAGATGTTTTTAATGAATAATTGTCTAATGAAATTTGTTATGTAGAAATAATTGCCTATATATAACCCCTTAATAGAAACTTATTGAGTGGTACATACATGATTTGTTTATCTTCCGTCGTATGAATATAGTAAGCAACATATTTAAACGATTCACCACATTTTTCGTTCTCTTCAATAGGTTGCCAATAAATCACAATGTCCCTTTTGGATTTGTCTGATGGCGAAATTACATATTCAAAGCTCCCAATGTCAGTTTGTGGTGGTCTTTTAGGAACTAAAAATATATCGGTTGTATAAAAATGTAAGCATACAATGAAATAAATACAATTTATCATAAAGATTGTGTACAACATGAATAACTTGATGTTTAATTCATCATTGTCGAATACCAAAAGAAATGTATCAGAACACGACTTCAATCAGAGCAGGTGAAAGTAGAAATAAATTGTAAACTTACTCGTTGGCTTGGTGTTAGTAGTGAAGCAACCCGGAGCAGACCACTTATCGTCCCCAACAGCCAATGCCGTCCGGACGTATATGCAAAAATTGTAACGAGTAAACGGATATTCTAAACCGGTGAAGTTGAAAGAATAACTAGTTGCGTTGCGTTCCAGACATGTCATAACTTGGACGGAAGTGGTTTGAGATGTCGATTGTGGCTTACAGATATCACTCAAACTTATTGACTAAGGAGAAAAATAGATAAGATTGGTATAGGTAAGTGGTCTAATCATAATTTTGTTTTGACTTTCATCCGTGTATATGATTGAATACTTACATTCCAGTGTTCGGGATTGGAATCCCATTGAGATTTATATTGAATCTTAAAAATCAATCCATGTGAATAAAGAGACATTGTATCCAAAGACCACACAAGATTGATACTTGATTCTGTTTTATCAACCACTGCGATTTTTGTAGGTTTCGCAGGAATTACTAAACATTGGAAAAGAAAATTAAATTAAGTGCGTTTGTATAATATAATACACATTTATCTCAATTCAAACAAATTAAAAATATAATATTATGTAATGCATACTGTTGGCGTAATGATGAAAAGAAATTGACGTTGACGAATTTCCCAGTTCATTTTCGCCGATTAACACGAAATGGTAATACTCGTGTGATTGTCTGTATAGTTGTGTGGTAGATAAATCCCAATAACAAGTATTATTATTGACATCCGAGTCAGTAGGACATTTTGTGACAGTTCTGGAACTAAAAGTACAATATGTTTTTTTTATAAATAAAAAATGTTTGTATTTGTATTAATGCATCATTGTTAATAACGAAATTATATACGATTATAACATTTTACCTGCCAGTACGACCACGCAGTCTAAAGTATAACTTATAAGTGGTTTTTATCGGGTTCTCCGGTTTAGTCCAATTACACGATAGACTTTCCCAGTTGTTAGAGATACAAGAGAAATTTGTAATCTTTAATGGTTTATCTGTAGACAAAGACCAATGATTATTTATAAATACTTTACATAATCTAATAATAATATGTTTCCGTCTTATAAAAATGTGTACCATACATTTGTACAAATTATACAGACAGAAACTATAAATGTTGCTCAGTAAATAATAATGTATTTTTTTAAGAGCTTTAACTTTAATTAAATCTAAAACTGAATAACTTAAGGTGTAAAAATATTTTGACTCTTTTTGAGCTTTTTATAGACAATTGAAATTTAAAAATATATTTTTAATGTCAATAATAGGTATCCATATACCATTTAAAAATATCGAAAATAAAAAGATCCAATATTATTTTTATTAATAGTTGAATTTAAAATTTTCACAAACTTCGTCAAAATCACGAACATTTTCAAATAATTTTGTAGTTAAAAATTGATAAAGTGTTCAATTTTTATAACTAAGAATTGCAATTTTAAAACAAGGTTGCTAAAAAAGTTTCTACTGTAACACCAGATTGTTTTGTTGGACAAGTTCAAATTCGGATGAAATTAGATAAATAATAAATAAATAAATAAATTATCTGATTAGATACCTATTCAAACTAATAATAACGATTTTTGTAATGCTGTAATTCAAAAATATAAACGAACATTTAAAGTTTATTATTAAATTTCATACAAACGATGACATTTTAAAATACCTACTATGTTTTTGGAAAAAATTAATTCAACCTACTGTAATAGTAAAATTAATTATTTGAATAGCAATAATGTCAGAAAATATACTCAAGTATTCAGTACATAATATAGGCTGACAAATCGTCTTAGCTCAGAATCGTTTTTTTTTTTTTTTGCAGTGATTTATCATTTAATTCTAATTTAACTTATTTATTACAGTGACCCAATGAAAACACTTGCAATAACTTGCAGTTAACTTACATCCAACAATAACATTGTTAAAGCACACCCCGATGCAGTCATCATGCGAATTACTCGAATGAGATCCAACAGTGTTTATGATGCTTTTTTGTAGAGCATTTTTGACAGACGATTTGGATACCTGAGCACACTTGTTGTTTTTATCTACACACACCATACATGTATAAACATCGGAACCAGTTGGAGGATTAGGTACTCTCAATTGTGCTGCTGTCGAGTTGATGATCGACACATATTGTTTGGGCACACATTCTTCGTTCTTGTAGAACCTGATTCTCTGGCTTAGAAGTATTGATTTGTTACCTTCATCAGCATTATCACTAAGCACTTTCTGTAATAGTTCGTGGTTAGGATTTAAAACGCATGCAATTTCCAACGGAGTATTGCTGTTGTGTTCGACGAGAATTTTACCATTCGGAGTAGTTCCTAAAATTGAAAAAAAAATTATAATTGATTTGTATAGCTTCTTGTTTAAACTGTTTAAAGTTTGTGGAACAGATAGTATAATGTAAAAGAATTTATTTTTAGGAACCAATGTACAAAACACTGATTTTCGAAATAGGTGAAAATGTTCTTGTTAATTTCATGTTTTTCTTTTAAAATATAAGGAATTATTGAACATGATTATATTAAAAATAATTGATTAAATGCCGTTCTTTATGCTTAAACAATTTTCTGATTCAAAAATTGATCAATTAACAATTAATTTAATATATTATTTTCAATTGATATTTAAAAATAGCTTCTGATACACATTTTGTTGGTTAAATCTATGATAAATACTATTAATGATTCATTGATAGATAATATATCTCAGATCCATGAATTTATTTTAAAGAAATCATTTTTTTTTTTTATGTATATAATTAGTTAATTATTGAAGGACCTTCAATTTACTATACGATTTATTATAACATAAAGGTTAAAAATGATTCATATCCTTACCTCCGGGTGAATATATGCCAGGACCACAAGTAATCGATGAATTTGAAAACCCAACTAATATTAGTGTTATCAACAATTCATAAATCCATTTCTGTCCCGATGTAAACAACTTGTGTTTGAAAGTTCCAACTGTATACTGCCGACGTGCCATGATTATACCTCCAATGCAAATCAACTGTAACAAAAAAAAAAAACTATTTAACTTCTGATTCTGACTATGAATTATTTCTGAAACAAATTATGGGAAATGTTTTCATGATTTAATAATCAAATATTGCAGACAGATGTGTTGAATTAATTATTTTAGTAGTTATTAACTTATATATTAATTAAATGTAAAATGAAAACTAAAAAAACGGAAAAAACGTTAATTAGTGTAGGTACCTCCCTATTATAAAAAATTATTAATTATTTACACTAGATATTTATATAGATTTACACAAGACGTATCAGATTAAAAATAAACCGGAAACTCGTTCTGCTGCATGGGTATCGAATGAACTTCATCATTCAGTAGGTCACTGCGAATGGTACGTAAGTAACGTTTAAGATTCCAGTTTAATAACAAATTCGATATACCTACTCGTACAAAATACGATTCTGAATAGAGACAAAGTATCTATTCCTAATGTCCTACAGTGTTCCGAAGTCTCTATTCAATTTAGATAAGTATAATACAGGTATAATATTGTATAATATAACCAAAAGTCTCAGTGGGTTAACATTAAAGGCCATTCTTAGTTATTCGTCCCGAAGAAGATGTTAACGTTGTGTCTTAAAAATCGATAAGCATTATTTTTATTATTTGACTACTATTTTAAATTTACATACTCTTATAAATTATAATCTAAACCAATTCAAACTTAAACTTAAGTTTTTTAAATTTGAGGCATATTAAAAAATTAAAATAGTATTTGTATTGAGATTTAATTTATATTTATTGTGATGGTGGGGAGGGGGGCTACGATTCTACGACCACAGGCCAATCTTTGCAATCAATCATGCTATTTCCCTATAACTAAAAAATTCGGCTTATGAACAATGTACTAATATCTCGCCACTGACTCCGCTGAGCATTAAACTTAATATAGGTAATATGTAAGCATTTTATATTTAAATTAATTAACTTTAAAGTGTTGCTTCGTTGTATAAGTATAACGTATTAACCTTTAAAATTAGCAATTTTATATCAAATATACTAATTATATTATTAATTTGTTGCATAAAATAATAAGTGTCCGGTCAAACTATCAAAAACAAATTATAGCTAAAAAAAATAATACATGTAAAAATACACAAAAATATTAATTTATAATGATTCAGATCATTCTTTTTTTATAAAGAGAGATTTTCTTCATATGCCACAAGTTAGGAAACTCTAGTCTAGAGTCTAAAATCATTTTATAGTTATACATTGTACGACGTCTGATAAGGTGTATTGTTTACTATTTATATTGTATTGCTGTATTTTTTTAAATTTGATTTATGTGTAAAAAAATATAAAAATTTAACAGAAATATCACTTCAACTTACAATGTTAATAACAATCTAAATTATTTAAAAAATAAAGTTTCCAACTTATACAAATGTAAATTTGTAATTTATATCTTTATATATATAATATGACAAAACACAATATCTAATAACAAAAGAATATAATTAGTAGTATGAATAAATTTCAATTCACTGTGTTGGTTTTTATAACAATATTGGAGACTTTGCTTTTACTATTTTTGTTATTTTCCCATTTACTATTTTGTTTTTTCGTATTATGGCTCAGAATCGAATTAAGTTCATATACTTATATCACACATTATAACTTATCTATTGTATGTTAAAAATAAATAAATAACTTAATAAATATAATATCAATATTTGTTTAAAAAAAAAAATACCTATGAGTAGAATAGGTAATAATTAATTAGTATTAAACTATGTGAGTGTAAAGATAAAAAGGCATGCCAACGGCACTTAGTGTTCCCAAGCGGTCAACCATCCAAGTACTAACTACGCCCGACGTTGCTTAACTTCAGTGATCGGACGAGAACTGGTGTATTCAACGTGGTATGGTCGTTGGCGAAAAATCAGTGTAAACAGCCCCCTTATATTTATATGTATTCATAGATTATACATATTATCTATTTGTGTGCCTATCTGGTAATCACTTTACACTATACTATACTATACTATACCCTTTTTTTTTTCCAGTTTTGAACCGACGACGCCGCGGGAACTGCTTTCGCATTGCTTCCGCGGCGCGAAATACTATACTATACCTAGTGCCTACTATTACTATGGTATAGTACATTTGAAACCACATGTTGGTAACAAAGATACCAGCCAAACAAGGAAATCAAAATTCGTTTACAGATAACATTCTGAAATGAGAGGAAAATTACAAATAATTTATGGATATATTATAATATTGTTTAATTTTAAAATGCAAATAATAGTAACATAGTACTAGGTATGCCATAACAATTTAAAAGTCATAATACACTTTTGATATTTCGCTGTTACAAAAATACCTATTATGTTTGATTACCTATACTAAAATTTCCTATTAGATAAATTACCTATTTTTTAATACCTAATTAAATTTGTATCATTTGTAGTTTGTAGTTTGTACATATTATATTGCAGAGTGTGTGATTGTTTGACTATTCAAATGTAAGCCTTTTTTATTGGAAATACATAATTTTATCATTATAACAAAAAACATAAATAATAAAAATTCAATAAGACAAAATAAATTCCTTTAAGCTATGCTTGTGATGGAGTAGGAATTTTTATTATTTTTTTAAAAATAATCTCACCCCTTTAAGTTAAAAATATTCACTCATTGCGCTGAGGGACGATGAATTTTTTACGATTAAAAACAATAAGTAATAATTAATATACATTTTCATGGTTGTACGTGCGTTCAAGTCTCCCTGTTAAAACGTCTGTAAAAAAATAAAATACACATGCACAGTAATGATAATAATAATAATATAATATTATTATTATTAATTATTGCTGTGCAGTTTGAGCAGGTTTTTTAATTGTAATATATCCATGTAAATGTGTGGGTTTGTGCATAAAAGTGTTTACACATCGAATACTTTTTTAAATACTAAGATACTAGTCACCGAATACCTACTTAAATATTAAATCGAATCAAATACAAAGTAGGATGTTACTGATAATAATTGTGTTTACTGTATTGAATGCCTAGATTGTTTTTAATTTTCAGATGGTGATTGTTTTAATAGGTATACATAATCATGTCGTGATATCATCAATCTTCGATTCAATAATCAATCTTCATTCATTCATCTTAGATACTATTTAAAAAAAAATTATAATTGTAAAATGATAAAATTTAATACTATAATATTTAATTATTAGTTACAAGTACGATTGAATATTTCGAACACATAAAATAGATAAGTAAACCATACCTAACTTTTTTTTACAAAATTATATTATATAGGATAAAGGCAGAGACTGAATTGTATTTAGATTTCATTGAAATTTAATTTTTGTGTATTTAAAAAGTAATTGAGTAGAATGAGCAGATAGTTCTTACACGGACATCGTACCCGTATCGATAATCAAAATACAAATCCCCGACCGGTGGAAGACATAAGGGCTAAATTAAGATAAGAAAAAAAAAGTTGTATCGTACAAAAGCGCCAGAAATTAAATAACATATATTAAATTTAGAACTATATCGCTCAAAAACTCCAAACGCTTAATATTAATCGACAAATGTATTATCTGATTACGATAGAGTGTCAAATAGACAGTGTGTGAGCAGTTTGTGTTATAACATATTATTAGTAAGTACCTATTTTGTAAGCATCCGTGTAAGCGTCAATATTGATGTGCATGTATATTATAATTTATCGACTTTTTATATTTTTATAACAAATCAACCAATTTATTAAATGTATTAAATTTTGATGTGCATGTGCCTATATTATAATTTACTATCAACATAATAATATTAATATAATATAATTTTTAAAAGATAGACATTTTTAAATAACTACCTACTTAATACTTATGTAAAATATTAATTTTGGCCCAAATGATAGGTCATTTTTGTACCTTTGCCACATATGTCATACAGCCTTCCCGACAAACAACCCTGGAAAAAAACCCCCGACTCAAAGAAAAAAAGTAAACCATAATATTATACTCACTACCACATGAAAATGATTAAACAAGAGTTTTTTTAACGCTAATTAGTGTAATTACCATATTTATTAATGTTTAATATTACAAATATATACTTATTGTACAGGTATAATTATTTACATCATTAAAAAAATCAAGTGGGTATTAAAGAAACAATGAAATTAAAAAACCAATCAATGTCCAAAGCTTAAAATATATATTGAATACAATTTCACTTACTTTTGTATTTACATTATAATTTTTAAACATCAACAATAATATGTTGTTTTACATTATTTGTATTTCTGTAAGAATTATAACCCCCTAATAAAATATTACATTTCCATTTTTTTTTTTATATTTTGACGATAATATAAACATTAATTTGGAGTATTTTGCACAAGTTTTATTTTATGGATACAGTATTTAAAACATTATGAAATACAATAAAAAAAATGTGTATAAAATACAAATAATAATCAAACAATAGTTGGTGAATATAAGTAAGGTACCTATTCTCTTAGAAAACCTATTAATATATGTATTATGTTGTTACAGATCGTGATATGAAAGAAAATAATATTAATGTTAATGTAGGAAAATTATTTATTATACATTATTTTTTAGTGAAAAGTACCAATACATTACTTTAAGTATATATTTGTAATTAAATATTAATTATGTAGTTATTACACTTATTAGAATTCAATAAATATTTGATCAATAATTTTCATGTGGTTGTGAGTAATATTGTAGTCTGCAGATTTTTTTTGTAGGGTCAGAGATTTTTTTTCGGGAATTTCAAGACCAACAATAGTGTATTGTATAAATTTTACAACTCACTATTAAAAGGACGCCACACCCGCTGTGCTGTCTCCGTCTCACAAGTGCGTAACATAGCAAATTTACGCTCAGCCGATCACGTTTATCTAAATCAGTTTAAAAGTTAGAGTAAATTGACCTATTATGAGACTTGATGATAAAAAATTTATCTGTGTTTCTATGTTTGTT